GGTAGTGGAGGTGGAAGCGGTGGTGGTGGCACACGTGGAGGAAGACTGGCGATTAGCGTAGGAGCGATTGCGGCGATTACTCTTAGCCTTGCGGGATTCTTCTCGCTGCTATCGTTTGTGGTATGGTGGTATAAGATTAGGGCGTCCGAGAATGTCACTCCTTATACCGATGGTAACGTTGGTGTGAGTGAAAAGGATGTAAATGATTGAGCACAAATATGAGATGGCGGGCGTCGGAAACTATTGTCTCGTATTAATATATTTAAGTTATTTAACCTAATTACATTACATTTAATTATCATTCCATCTATTAAAATATTCAATCAAAATCAACCATGTAAACATTCATTTGTAATAGATTTCATATTTGCGTATATTAAACTTCAATCCTTTAAAAAAATTTTAGTGTAAAAAATAGGACCCAAAATAATCTAATTCTATACGACATTTGGAGGAAATGACATTATTGAATTGGTAACCGTGAGCGCTGTATGATCTTGGCGTTCTATTATGGGCTGAGTCATATCTATATATATATGATTTGTCTGTTATCGTTTTTTCGGATACAATAATTTATATCATGTCATGCATCACATTTAAAATAATCGAATTTGTTCGGCGACCTGAAATCCAGGCTTAGACGTCATTCGGATATCATAAATTAATTAATTAATATTATTATTATTATTATTCTCTTTTTTTTTTCATTAATCATTCAAAATTTTCAAAATTAGCAAAAAATAAATAATTCTATATATATATATTTCTTCATTCTCTTGTGTAAAATTCTCTAAAGAAAAACTTGCTCATTTTCTTGTATCACTATTAAAAGAATGACCGAACAAGTTTCACAAGATCATTCACACTCGGTCAACCATCCAGAAAATCAACAGCCATATCTCGATCAACAACGTCCACTTCAACTGTCGCCTCCTCCCCAAGCACTGGAATGCGTCATTTGCCCATCGCTAAAGTCGCAAAACGAGTTTAAGGAAATACTCGTAGTGAAATATCACAAAATTGCCCAAGTTCAAGATGAGCTCATACAATCTCAGCGAAACCTAATTAGAGATTTGTTATTAAAATCATCGATCTCGGTTTCCGGTGGTGCAGGCACGACTTTTTTTCATGGAGCCACTTTTAACAACGGAACAACTTTTAATAACGGCGGGGCCACTTATGGCAATGGTACGACTCCGGCTTTCAATAGTGCCACTGGTGTCTTTGAGAATGGGGTGAATTTTGAAGGTGGCGGAGGGTTCAATGGAGAAAGCGGATTCGAAAGTAGTGCCGGTTTCAACAACGGTACAATTAGCGTTAATGGAGCTGGTAATAATAATAACTTCATGGGAGACTATGCTTTTAACGTGCCATACATTGGGGATGCGGATCTGTATGGGGAAACGAACTTCTTGAGAACTTTAAATTACGATGTTCAGCAAGGTGGGATAATTTTCCTTTCTTGGACATTTCCAGCGAAAGTTAGAGAACAGAACCTTTACTTTTATTTATATCAATCTATGATTTGATAGCAATGAGGAGTTCGCCTCAATGTTATAATCCCCAAGATTGGCGCCGAATTTACGTTGGCGCAGTGACAAATGACGTTGATGAAAAGACACTGAGAAAGATCCTCGGAAAGGCATTCGGAAAAGTCACCTCAATCGAGATCGTTCGTGCCAGGGTATGTCCTCTTATAATTCCATGCGCGCGAATTTTGCATACGTGTTCTCATTTTATGTCAATTCGATCAAACAGAGTTGTGCCTTTGTAGAGTTCTGCTACCAAGAAGCGTACCAACGTGCGATCAAACAAGGTTTCATCTACTTGAACGGTGTTCGCGCCAAGATCAAGATGGCACATAGGCCTAACAAGAACAAACGATTCAACAATGGAAGTATGAATGGTAATAGAAATAGTTATTGGAGAAATAACAACACGAACGGAAAGAGTTCGAATGATGGGATTGCGAACGGGGAAGACTCGAATGAAGGAGCAAATGCAAACGGAGCGACCGGGAATGGGGCTAGCGTGAGTGGAGCCAGCGTGAGTGGATCGAGCATGAATGGAGGAAGTAGTGTGAATGGAAATTGAAGTCAGATCTTAGAAAAATCAAAGAGAGAAATGTTTCTGATTATTTCGATAAGATAATCAGAAACATTTGTTTCTCGATTTTCTTAAGGTAGAGATTTCATATACGAAAACGCTCGTACCATGTCAACCATTTTTCTTGTGTAATATTTGAGAACTCGATTTGGTCTGTTTCCCGTTCTAAGAACTTTACTCTTTTGCTTACTCTTGTCATTTCATTTTGCTATTGCCAATATGATCAAATCTCATTCGTGTATTATCTTCTGTAATAATTTATTCTCTTTGTCACTCTAATCTTTTCTTGCTTAAGAAACCCGTGTATGTACTTGCATTACTTGTCATTGTACATTTTCTTGTTTAATACATAAAAAAGCGTGACTCCTTTGCTGTACATACGTATAAATATGTGAAACTTTCAACGTTAGTGCAATCGACTAGTGTCAGAAATAACAAAATTTCACGACAACCGATTACGAGTTGGTCAAAAAAATATCGAGAAACTTCATAAACATGTATTAACAATGTCAACGACGCATTTTTTAACATATCTTTGAACATCCTTAGGACGTTTAAAATTGCGAATTCTATAATGAATACAGTATAATGGTGTCATTAATATTGTGAATATACTGTAAATTATAATTATAATGATTTGCTATTGTCTGCACAGAAAGTAGAATCAGATAAGATAACTTAGTAAGGCAACCGACTAAAGATAAGAATAGTTTCTGCTAGATCTGATTAATAAAAAGTTATATATATCTATATTGTGCACACTTGTTAAATTTTAAGAAAGCTTCCGAATATTGGTACCCGAGGTCGTCTTTGACCCGTCGATTTCGCGATTCCGTTCATTTATCAACTCAGTACCCGATTCGTTATTATTAGGATTTTCGTTACTTATGTTATATGATAATAGTATAATCACATGAATTATCAGACGCGATTATTAATATCGAAGATTTGGATGGACTTTTTTCGACGGGTTGTTATAACAATGACGTAATTATTTTTTAATGATGATAAATGATCAAAAAAAAAAAAAAAACAATCAGTCAATCAAACATTTATTAATGTTGAGTTTTTTCTTTTGGTTTTTTTTTTTTGTTTATATAATTGCATTGATCACATCACGTAAGTTAACATGATGCATCGATTCGTAGTGGACTCAAAAATCTCTTGTTCGCTACGAATTTGTGCAACACATTTTGTTTACACATTGTCATTAAAGTTCAAGCATCTTTTCGGTTTAATGTCAGATTGTTTTTGATTTGTTTCACGTAAAGAATTTGCTTCCTTTCATTCGCGTTTTCAAAGAGACTCATATATAAGATCACAACTTTAGTGAGACTCGATCTCTCTCAAGATAACGGATTTGGTTTTTCTTTGTTGTTCTCTGAGATCAAAAAGGAAAAACCTAATGGTTTTCCCAATTCATTCTAATAACCAGTACAAATTAAATAATGTTATGTGCACCATAGATGATCAACAGAAGCAAAAAAACGGTAAGTTTTCACGAACGTTTACACACTTTACCGAATACTAATGACAATTTTATGTAACAATGTTAAGATCTACCAACCTTAAATAATTTCATTCTTGATAAGCTAAACTGAAACCGTTTCTTAATAATATATTATACGGTTTATCATTCTCCTCCTCCTCCACCTCTTTCTCCTCCTCCCTCTTCCCCTTTCCCCTCCCCGTCGTCGTTGTTGTCTTTTCGGACAAGAAAGGGAAAAGCAGGGAAATCACCGAAGGGCAAGCCCCATCGATCTTACCTGTTGACTTTACCGAAACCGTGAACACCTCTTCAATACCTACCGAGCACCTTGATCAATTCATCTTACCGAATGAAAATACGGTCTTTCAACATGATTGTGAGATGACTGAAGAATATATCGCACCGAGTATTCTAACTTTCGTGCTTCCGAAAAGTGCATCACCATCACCATCATCATCATTCACTGAAGGTGATTCAAAGATGAACCCACTATTTTGCTTGCAGGAGCCAATTTATCAATTAGAAGATTTTTCGGCCGTCACCGCCTCTTGGTTTTGGTCCTCGTACCTTCCGAGCATTATGAACTCCATGCCTTATTTTCCGAGCGATCATATAAATGACATCGTCGAGGTTGACTTCCCCAAAGATTTATCGGTATCAACGTTCTATCAGCTACTTAGTCAGATGACCTTACTCGGGCAAGGTGTTTTCAACAAGTGCACCATATTGCGTATGCTAAGCGTCGGCGAATGGAATCGTAAGTATTCTTTCTTCGACTATCGACCGCAATGCAAGTGGAATGTTGACGGCCCGGGAAGTCAAGAGGTGGAACCCGGTGAAGTGATCGATGAACTAGTCAAGGAATATTGGCACGATCAAGGTTCATCCGACAATTCTGATAACACGGTACCATCCTCACCAACGAGTAATGGTCAAAATTTGAAAGGAACCTTGGGACAATGCGAGCAGAATAAACAAGGAGTCGAGCTAGAAATCGTTGTGCACGGACAATACCTTACACCTCAAAGTGAATTATTTCAAAAGATATATCATTATCTGTCCAATTCGATATTTTTCCGTCCACATCCTTGTGGCAAATATGCTACGCGTATAACCATGCCGATACCATCGGTTTCCACTATAGGACCAATTATCAATTGGTTGTATAACCACAATGATAATGATTGGATGGAAACGATGACTCCCGAAAATTTCGATCAGGTATCATTCCGAATTACTTGGTTTCACTCTTGAAAGATTGTCAATTAACAAATAAAACGTTCGCGATTATCTTCCAAGGTTTGCCGGAATGTCATCTTTCTTGGATTAGGAGATGATGCGTTCGATGTGTTATGTTTGTATTTTCGAAAAAATTTTATAATAGTACAAGCGTGAATTTTCTTTTTTAAAACCCCTTATCCCTATTACTATTATTATTATTTCACTTTAATATAATTATTGTTATATATGTATTATTTTCCAATTATTATTTAGCATTCCGTTTTTTTTTTTTTTGATTACATATTGTATATTCACAACCTAAACACAATCCAGACTCTTCTCCGTCTGTGATTTCTAATTGTACTACTATTACTTTTCTGCATGTGCCTCTCGTGAATTCCGCAAAGGAATATTGGATATTGCGCGTAACGAGAACACAACCATCACGTGCTGAGAACTTTCTTTCAGCCTACTAAATCTGTGATCTTTTAAGTTCATTTCATCTTATCTTATATATTTAAGCTATATTATAAATTTTTATTTTGTAAATTAGACAAATAAATAATGATTTTTAGCCGGAAAAAATACGATTGGACGAAAAATTGTAGTAAAGCAATAACACATAAAATAATAATTATAATTATGAGTAAAAGAATAATATTGTCTAAAGCGAAACTTTTGTGCGAAAGACAATTATCTGCAGGCTACTTTTAAAATATACAGTAGTACACAGATTATCTAACAAACATTTATTATGGATACCTGAATTACTATATCGGTATATGATTGGATGGATAAATTAAGCTTGAATCTTGTGCAACATCCTTGAAATCTCAACATATGTGCTCGGTCTACAAATACTCGAGATGTCGTTAACTGATTCTTTCCGAGCCGAACTACCAAATTCCTCTTATCCTATCTCAGAATACAGCGAATCGGAGCCTGATCTCGATGGCAAGTAAAAGTTGATCTTCGTATTTCTTAATTCTCTCCTTACCTATTAATGGATATGCGCAAAAACCATGTATAGATGAAAGATGGGACGACTGGGAAGAAGAGGAAGGAATCCGTTACGATCACAAGTGTTTATTCTGCAAGGAGATGTTTTCCACCCCCGGAGATTTGTTTCTTCATTGCAAGGAACACCACGGATTCGATTTCCAAAGAATTCGGATGGAGTTGAGTAAGTCTCTTGATTATCACGAATCTTAATATCTGGTTTAAGAATCGTATCCTTAAAAATTTCGGTATTCGCCTCTTATAGAACTCGATTTTTATCAGTCGATCCGCTTAATAAATTACATTCGTAAACATGTCAGTATTGTATTATCTTTTTATTTTAGTTCATCTTAGAGGTCAATAAATGGTAATCAACTTTTTATGTATACCTCAATTTTAGGTTTTGGAAAATCCCGAATTAGAGAGTACGACCTCTTATTCAGTGCCCGAAATACAGACTGTCCTTAGCGATGATACCTATCTTAAGCCGGTAATCGACGAAGATCCATTGCTGTATGGTAAAACTTGACGTCTCCAATCAGATGACATGACCGAGCACAATATTTACCAGATATCACTTTTCGCATTACAGGGTTTGAAAATGATGAAATCGAGGAGGATTTTGATGAGATGATGCATTTCAAGGATCTAGAAATTCGAAATCAAGGTTTCCCCCTAAATTGAATTCTTGAAACTTTTTTTGAGGAATAAATGAAATAAATTCATTCGACTTTGTAGAATCATTGGATATTGCAAATGTTAACACGCCTCTAGAGAAAGAGCTTCTTGAGCGACTGAGGATAGCAGAAGAAAAACTTTTCAACTGTCAGGTGCAACTCAAGAAAGTAGGGACGCAGTTCGATGAATATCGCCAAATGGTTAAAGAATCCTTCTTTGATGCTTATTCCGATACAAAAAGGTAATTTCTATCGAACGAAAGACGACAGTTCATTGACACAATATTGAATGAAGTTGAACTGTTGTTTCATACAGTGAGAAATCGGTAAGTTACGAAGAGGAGGTTGATTATTATTTCAATTCTTATGCAAAGAATGGTTAGTATTGGTGATATGTTCAATTCTTTTTTTCCTGTCGATCAAAAATTCAAGTCTGGAAAATTTATTTGCAGATATCCATGAGGAAATGCTGAAAGATCGAATTCGAACCGAAAGCTATCGTGATTTTATTTATGAACACAAGGACCTCTTCAAGGGCAAGGTTGGAAATTATTTTAGCAATTTTTTTTCTTTGAGTTTGGTTGACGATAGTCATTCTTTTTTTCTCAAATATCCTCATAGGTTGTACTGGACGTTGGGTGTGGTAAGCATTCACAAAACAAAGGAAAAAAAAAAAGTAAATAAAATATTTTATTGAAATAACGCACTACTTCAGGAACTTGCATATTATCAATGTTTGCTGCCAAAGCCGGGGCGTCCAAAGGTGTGTCTGAGTGGGTGGGACTCATATGGCCAATAGTGCTTTCAGGTGAATAATCTATTCGTGAATTTGTTTTATAGTTTTCTCTGTGGACAAATCGGACATTATCAAACGGGCAAAAGAGATCGTCAGAGAAAATCAGCTAGACAATGTTATCACGTAAAATAATTTATAAGATTTAACGTCTCTTGCTTAATAGAGCGTGTGGTACTTACAATAATTTAAATTATGATAGTCTCATAAATAGTAAGGTCGAAGATGTCAAACTCCCGGTGAAAAAGGTCGATATCATTATTTCCGAATGGATGGGCTATTTCCTATTTTTTGAGGCAATGTTAGACTCTTTGATAGTTGCACGCGATCGATGGCTTGCACCAGATGGAATTCGTAAGTTGTGTCGTTTAAAAAATATACAAGGGGTTTCATTTAATAACAAATTACATGTTAGTTGCACCCAGTTACTGTCGTCTTTTGTTTACCGCGATTGAAGACGAAGATTTATTTAATGACACGTTCAATTTTTGGAATGACGTTTACGGTATGATATGCAGAAACATTAAATGATTGGCGTTCGCACGTAAGAATGGTTTTTTATTTCTTTTCTCTTTTTTTCTTTTTCTGTAGGATTTAAGATGACCGCCATGAAAAATCCTGTACAGAAAAGTGCTATCGTTGATAGTGTGAAATCACAGTCAATTATCTCCAATGTGGTTTCCATAAAGGTATTTTTGCATGGAGTGTGCACGCAACAATCTGATTACATTTATTCACATTTATTTTTTTTGATGTTGTTAAGGAAGTGCCGTTACACGCTATTCGCAAATATCAACTGGATTTTACTTCTCCTTTCACGTTGGAAATTACACGTGACGGGTATTTGCACGGATTCTTAGGGTACTTTGACACTTGGTTTACACGAGATGGTCATGAGATCCCACTATCCCAGAAGGCGAACGAAAAGGTTCCGGATGTCATTAGCTTCACTACAGGTCCTTACGGAGAAGTGACGCATTGGCGACAGACAATATTTTTCCTGGATCACATTATTCCAGTAAATCAAGGTAATTTTTTTGATGCCGTTTTTTTTTTTTTAAACATTCATTTTTTTGAACTGATCAAACGTTTCAACAGGTACAATTGTCACCGGTTCATTTGATTGCCATAAGAGCGTGGAAAATCCCCGAGATCTGGACTTCGAAATTCGATATAAAGTCATAGGAGTCGGAGAAGATGTTAATCAAGTAAATGAACTTGTGCAAAAGTTTTATTTGCGTTAAATTTCATAACATCATTCGCTGTGTCCAAATTGGAGGCAAATATGTGTATAGAAATCGCAACCTTTGTAAAGAGATCACGAGTTTATTGACAACGGGAAAATTTTTTTACGAATATACCACAGATAGATTTCGTCGTTTGGTATGTAATTCGTCTAATTAGACTAATTAATTTCCTATAAATAAATCGTGTGGCCGATCCTAAGTTAATTACTAAGAGATCGAAAAGTTACGTTAAAAAGAAAAATAAAGGGGATAAATGCTTCGTTTAACTAGTTATATCATGAGACTTTCATCTAATAAGCAAAATCCTAACTGCAGTATTTCTTTGAAAATGGTTTTTTTCTAATTCTTCAAAAATAAATACAATATACAGTTCTAACTGAATTTCATTATTCATAAACAATTTTTTTAAAACTAGCTTGACCCTGCCTAGTAAATTTTAATATTAGTAATAGTTACATATATTTACATCCCTGTAAACTATGCTATAATACTAATTCTTTTTTCTTGTGTGTTGTTCCTATGTGATTATTTTTTTATATCTTTCTTTTGTACTATTATTCACTTATCCTTAATCCCTTGTCAAATATATTAAGGGACTTTTTTTATAAATACTGTATATTCTTGGCTGCAACCATTCCATCAAATTCTATATTATTATTATAAATTATTTTGTATTTTATCTTATAATTAAATAAAAAAAATCATTAAATTTTTATAAAATTTTATTCAAATATATTTTTAGAACTTAAGAATAAAATGATATAAATTTTATTAAAAAACAATTATTTTTTAAAATTTTAAATAATATATAAAAATCTAAAAAAAAAATTTTTTAAATCATCACAAACAAGTATATTTTTAAAAAAACTTATCAAGTTATTTTATAAGTAAAGCTTAAACAAAAATCTTTTAAAAAACTTAAAGAAAATAAATTTTAATTTTTATATAAAACAAATAAGTTTTCATGAAATAATAAAAAAAACTTAACTTTTTTTATATTTTAAAAATATTTTTTATATTAAATTTTTATATTAAGAAAATCAAAAAATTTATATTCAAAAAATGTTTTAAAAAATTATATTAAGATATTTTATAAGATAAGCTTAAGTAACCTTTTTTTTTAGATTATAAACAAATGATTTATAAAATTTGATATAAAATAAATAATTTTTTATTGTATAATAAACAAAACCAAATTTTAAAATATTATATTTTTTTTGTAAAAATTTAAAATTTTGTACTATGTTTTTATATTAACACATATACTGTATAAAACTTTAGCAAATTTGTTTTATCAATTTTTGTTAGTCTATATGAAAAATAAATTTTAAATATAAAAACAATATAGAATATTAAAAATAATCTTAAGTAATCTTGTACTATATGGTTTTAAAAATATTTTTATAAATTTTTATAATATTTAAATAATTATTAAAAAAATTATATTAAAAAAACCAATTCCAAAAATTTATAATTTACACTGTATATTAATATATGGACTATATAAAGAAAATACAAAGTATAACTCAGAACAGGAAATAAAAAAATAATAGACTAGAAAAAAATATAAGCAAGTCTTTTATTATCAAAAATTACAAGTTTTTATATTAATTCATAAAATTATAACAATAGAGTATTCAAATACAAATTGTTTAATAAAAAGTTTTCTATTAAAAACAAACTAAATAAAAAAAAACCTGACATATATAAAAAAAAATATACTTCTGATATAAAAAATAAAAAATTATAAAATATATTTTTAGTAAATATTATAAAAATAAAATTAAAATCACATATATATAAATATTAAAAAAGAAAATATTCAGTAAAATTAAAAAAAAATAATAATAATCAATTAAAAAAACCAACTTAAGTATATTATCAACAATTCAGAAAGAACTATTAGATCTATAATTAAAAGTATTTATAAAAAGAATCTAATTAATCTAATGGGTATATTAATAAAACAAAAATTAAAGATATATTAAAGACAGTTACAAATTAAATAACAAAAGAATTTGAAACTACAGATGTACAAAATTCTAACAATAAATATATATATATATATAAACAAAAGTAAAAAAAAGAAAAAAAGAAAAAAATAAGTCAATACAATAAAAACTCATAAATAATTAACTAAATCAGAGAAATAATATAATTAATTTCAACTTTTATATTTTATATAATAATAATACTAATAGAGTCTTGATATATTAGTCTTGATACATACTGAAAAATAAGTCAATAGCAATAAGCCAATATGAAATTATCTTAATATAGTATAATATATATCTAGAATAGTTTGTTTTTTTTTTTTGTTAAGATGAGACGTGTCTCATGATCTTTATTAATATCGTAATTTTTATTATTATATAATTAATTTTTAAGATATGAGATATATGGACAAATGTATATATTAGTCTATCACCTATCATAGTAGATATATTTCTAAATAAAAAACCTTTGAGCAGGAAAAAGTAAGAAAGAAACTATCTACAATATTAATATATATAAAGAGAGGGGCAAGATCGCCTTGAGTAAAAGAATGTATCAGTATGGTAATTTGAAGATAAAATGTGTAGATGTGAAGTCACTATATATGTTAAGTTTAAAGTTAGGGTTAATCACTCTCCGAAACCATATATAGTTGGATGTGTTTTGAATGGGATAGTTGTATAGACATGATATGTGTTAGAGTTTGGAGACATATTATCTTTGAATCAACAATTCCTCCCGCAGTGCATAAACCAAATATGTCATCTAGGTTACTACATCCTTTTTGATAGTTGGGTATGACTCCAGCAACAGTAGAGGAGCACTGATATAAGCTGCCAGATTATGGAGCGCAACTTCCTGGTATTTCACTTTCACTCACAATAAAAGTGCTTTATTTTTATTCACATTGGTTAGGCTTTAGCTGCCTTTTTTCTTTAATGATAGCATTGCTGCTCATGGGGCACAACTCCATTGTTAAGATAATATAAGTTGATTATGTGGTTGAAAAAGGAGTGTTGTGATTGAAATATATATGAGTTGGGTAACTAGAGCCTAGCTCCAGTTGATTGTTGTGTTGTTTGGATGCATGTTAAGTAAGATTACCAGAACCCATGCAGGGCACAGGTCATGTGCTCTTTCAATCCGGTAGGTTGTCAGTTGATTGATTGTTGTTGTTATTGTTGTTATTGTTATTGTTGTTGTTGTGTATGAGAATTTTATTGAAGAACTAGTTATAAACGAGTTTGAACAGATTTGATGTTGTTGTTAAGGAGTGGAGATATTTTATTGGTTGTTTGTTAAGTGTAGATCTTTGGATGGGGTGAAACTGATTGTGGTTTTTTTTGAGTAAATTTAGGAAAATTGTAGGATAGTAAAAAAATGATGTGTGGTATTGTTTTTAGATGGAGAAGAAAGATAATAAATTTTTTAAAGGTTGTGTTAAGACAAACATTAGACTTAGTAACTTTGTTTGAATGTGTTGTTGAAATTAAATTTGTGTTATGAAAGAAAAAAGGTGAGGGGAAAGCGGTTATCATGATCATAAAGAGGAAGATACTTAAAGACAAAAAATTATGAAGGAAGACTGCCACGGGTCTTTCTCCATGCAACCAAGAGCTAAGGAAGACTCCCAACTTGCTTAGGTCTTGACCAGAGGTCCCATCCCAATGCAATAGTGTTTCTTAAAGTCTTTATATTCTTTAGGTTTAAAGCTTATTTGCCTTAAAAAATAAAGAAAAAAGGACGCTTCTTGGAAGAAGATTTCCTAAAAAGAAAATTTTCAAAAAATCAGCGGTGAACGGGTGAGAGTTTTTTTTTTTTTTTTTTATCTAGAATAGTTTATAGATAATAGTTTTTATAATTAGAAATACAAATATAAACTAAATAAAATATATTGAACAAGACCTTATTAGTAAAAGAAAAATACTTGTTAAATTAAATATTTTTTCTAAAATATATTAAAATAAAATATTGTTTATTTTAATACAACCTTTATACAAATTTTATTTAATAATATTTGTTATCTTATTTTAGAATTGATTGTTGTTTTTCAATTATTTAATTAAATTTAATTAAAATATTAAAGCAAAAACTTTTCAATATAATAATAATAATAATAACTATTACAACAATAAATAATATCAATTATATTTTACTATTTATATTAGCAAAAGTTATATTAATAAATAACAAAAAATTGAAGAAATAGATATTTGAATCAAATTAAAAGTTCTTTTAAAAATATTATTTTTATTTATATAGATTTATAGTTTAATTAAGCCAGTTTTGGTTTTAATAGGCCATGTTATTATAGTTAGAATTATAATTTTTTTTATAATTTATAATTTTTTATACATATATATATATCCAATTATTTTTAAATAAATAGATATAATCAAAAACTCTCTCCTGATTGCGTCCGTTTTGTTAAAAATTTTCCTTTTATGGTAATTTTAAGCAAGAAAAAATGTTTTACTCTCTTTATCGCAAGTG